TTGTGAGGAAAATATGGTACAACCAAGAGTAGACGTATTTCCTGTGTACCGTAGGTATACGAAGCTGTTCTGGATCACTAGCAGCCTTTGTTCGATGTCGCTGACCTGTGCAGTTTTTGTTGTGAGAACTTGCTGCGGACGTTGGAAGCCGTGGTGTGCCACAGTATTTTGCATTAACTCATTTGCAGATATGTCTTTATTAGTACATGATTTCCTCACTTTGAGGTCTTTACATAGAACATACTGCGGTTACGTTAGATCAAAAATCATTGTCAAATAGTTTCTGTAGCAGACAAAAGATGCTACCGCAAGTCGTCGTTCAGGGGAGGGGGGGTGTTCTGTGGCTGGTGAGAGCGATGAGGATTGTCATCAGGTTCCTTTTTTAATTGTCGAAGAAAACCTAGGGGCGAATAAGGAAGTTCAGTACACTGTTGAAAATTTGCATAGAGACAAGTCAGAACATGCTATTCATACAACCTTTGTGGTTCAAAATGCGTAATACGTATGTACACTCGAGACCCACTGACGACTTCTCAGGTTCTGTAATATGGCGATCAGTCGGCTTGTATTTTCGGCACCCAACTTCCTCATCGGGGGGACACAACTCACAATTGCAACTTTTTAAGAAATTAATCGCTAAATTGAAGAAAATAAATCTCAATAAAACTGTCTATGCTCAGACCAACTGTTGATATTAATATTTGGGCTGAAATCCGTTAGCCCCAGCAGGGTAACCGCGTAATATTCATAACTTGCCAACAGGCAGCCAGCGGATAATGAATAGGTTACATGATACATCATGCCTCAGTTCAGTTTATTTGAGGGGAACGTAGGTGTTGAAACTTTGAACTCCCTCTTTGTTACAAGGGAGCGAATTCTATCAAAAAATTGAAAATGGGAACATCAAACAGTTACATAATTCTTCCGAAACCAGTCAGATAAACGAGTTGTCCCAAGTGTTAAAAACATTAACATTACTAAATATACTGTACAGTAGTCAGTCTATGAATTATTGTGCTGTAGAATATTGGTGCGATCTCAGTTTCTGAGGCGAATTGAGTGCCAGCATTCATATTCAATGGACTTTGGATAATAATAAAATACATAGATGTTTCGGCAGATTTTGAATAATTCATATTGACCCAACTGTGAATTATTCAAAATCTGCTAAAAAGATCTGTGAACTACGGGAGCCTGGTAGTCATCTGGTGGATTCTAGGTGAATTACTTAGGAAATATTGCATGGGACGTCAACTTACTGTATCAGATTTGGTGGATTCCAGACGTTGAAGTAGGTTGGGCGGGTAACTTGACCCAAATTGGATTAAACTCGCGTCGTCCGGCGAGGTCTCGTAGCTCAAGTGGTTAGAGCGTTGGCTGTACTAAAGCCTTCCCCTTGCCGTGTGGGTTTGAATCCGACCGAGGCGCCGCGTTTTTCACCCTTGGGTCAATGTGAATACTAAAATTAAAAATAAACATTACTGGAATACAGGCAGTAATAACAAAAGTAAGAGATCCGGGTCGATAATCTGAGGAAAATGAAGTGCTCACCGGATCGAGGGACTTATTTGGCTGACGTTTCGAAGAGCTGGGGCGGCTCTCCATTATCAAAGCGTCAAGTGATTTTCAAGGAGCAGCTGCCTTAGGCAGGGGCACCTCAAGGACAGAGCGTCTCACACTTGAGGCTTGGTTCTCAGATGCCAACTCCATCAACAGGCGTCTAGACCTTCCTTCGGCCTATGAAGTCCTACGTCACTACATACACCGTGCCGAAGGCAGGTCAGTCATACGGAGCCTAAGACTACCGAGCAAACACGGCCTGTCGGCCAATTCACCCAAAAGCGGGATGCAAACGCAACTAACTCAGTTGAGGTGACGACACACAATGCAGGAGGCCGCCAACACTCACAGGCGACGGTCAGTAGGCCAAGACAGCGAAAAAAGAAAAAAATCGATCCGTCCAGGGCCAGCTAATCCGGCAGCCTATTCAAAATTCGGATCGATTTTCCCACTAGACGCTTTGATAATGGAGAGCCGCCCCAGCTCTTCGAAACGTTAGCCAAACAAGTCCCCCGATCCGGTGAGCGCTTCATTTTCCACAGGCAGTTATATTAGAACGGTACTGAACTGTTAGACCGAAACGCTAAGAAGATATCGGTCAGCTGACATTATGATGTTTGGTCGTATACTAGTCCAGTTCGCATTTAAAAACCTCGACGGATGAGGAAAGGACGTCTGCAGGCAGGGCATTCCAAGCCACGAGCACTCTATTGGAAAATAACTTTCGCACGTCCAGTCTGGCGTCAGTCACACGTAGTTTAAGTGGATGACCTCAGAGGTTCGTTGTGGTTGCTAACTCAAAGAAGTCAGCAGGTAAGAGACAGCAGACCTGACCGCGCACCACGTGGAATGTTTGTATAAGGTCGCCCCTTAGCTGTCTGCAACTCAGGGGAAAAGGGCCGAGATGTTTCATGGGGCAGTGAACCCTTTCCACTTACGCGTTTGGTTGCCAGCCGTTGAACTTTCTCAAGGATGCTGAGGTCTTTAAAAGTCCAGAGTTTCCACGCTTGAATAGCGAACTCTAACGGTGGCCGTGCAAACGTCCGAAAGACTTTAATGAAGCAGTCCTCATCGAAGGTAAAGCAAGCTCGCTTGACAAGGTAGAGGACTGACATCGCGGACTTGGCTACCTTGGAGCAGTGGAGCGACGGCTTAAGTGAAGCCGTGACCCACACACCCAAGTCTTTTTGGGCGTCTACCTCCTGCAGTGGTAAGCCATTTAGGTGGTAAACCTTGCGGCTCGGCGATCGGGCCAGATGGTCTCGAAGAATGCTGTACTTAGCCACATTAAACAGCAAAGGCCAGTCCTGTGACCATTTCTCTAGCCGGTTCAGGTTTGCCTGCAAGCGCCCTTCGTCAAATTCAATTCAGATGACGCTCCAAAGTTTAACATCATCAGCGAACATGGCCGCATCGCAATTCAGTTCACTGATGCAGTCGCTAACGTATATGCTGAATAGTGTAGGGCCAAGATCGGAGCCTTGAGGAACACGGCTTTCAACCGCTACCTCCGCCAACTGCCTGTCACCGACGTGGACGGTTTGAGAGCGACAGATCAAGAAGCTTTGAATCCGCCTCAGGAGATTACCCCTAATGCCTGTTCAGCTTAATTTGTACATGAGACGCTGATATGGTACATTATCGAATGCTTTCTTAAAGTCGACGTGCACTACATTGCCGCCATTGACTGCTCGGGTCCAGCGATCTAAACAATAAAGTAGGTTTGTCACGCATGATCTGCCTATACGAAATCCGTGCTGGGAATCGCTAAGCAGATTATGCTCTTCTAGGAAGCGCATTATTTCTCGCTTAATTATTTTTTCCATAATTTTGCAGCAAATTGAAGTAAGGCTGATTGGTCTGTAGTTGTTTGCTAAGACCTTGCTGCCGCCTTTATAAATTGGCGTGATCCGTGCAGATTTCCAATCGGCGGGCAGATAGCCTGCTTCGAGAGAAGTTTGGAAGAGCATGGACAGCAGTTTAGATAGTTCTCCAGCAAGCTCCTTCAACAATTTGGGCGATATGCCATCCGGCCCAGGCGATTTAGACTCATTCAGCGTCAACAGTTCTTTGCAAACAATAGCTTCAGAGAAAGAGACATACTCAATCGTTGGCCCGTCCACAATTTCGCAGTCGGGAGGAAGAAATGCGCTTTCCTTCGTAAAGATGGACTTAAAAAATTGTGAAAGATGCTCTGCCTTTTCTCCGTCTTCACTGAGTTCTAGGTCATCACTAGCTTTCAATAACGGAACTGGGTCTCTGTTTCGTGTGCTTCTTATATAACCGTAGAATAACTTCGGATTTTCTGCGGTTCGATTCAGTAGGTCTTTTTCGAACGTACGCCGCGTCCCAAGGGTTAGCCTCTTAACTAGGTTCCTCTGTGTCTTGTATGCATTTATCGACACAGAACTCCTATTCGAAAGGAATTTCCTCCATAACCTCCGCTTTTTATTCACTTCTTTTTCTAAGCTTGTGTTAGCCACGGGGATCTGTTGTTCAGTTCCTTCCGTGAAATAGGGCAGTGGTCTCGGAGAAGAACGTGCAATAACTCACTAAACCAGTCCCAATCCTCGATTATGTCACCGGAAAAAGCTGATTTCCAGTTTATAGTGTTTAGTTCAGCTTTCATTTGGGCAAAGTCACCGCGCCAAATGTTCCTTCTAACCCTGGTGGCTTGTTCGGGCAGAGTAGAAATGGAGTAATTCCACAACAGTACGACGTGGTCGCTTCGGCGAAAATTCCCATATTACGATTGAAAGGTCAGTTGGCAAACATATGTTTTCAGCAACTCATCGTCAGGCCAATACATTTACATGGGACAAGATACAAATGTGCCTCAGGGAGCAGGGTTAGTCAGACTCCATGTTCCTACGCCGCCCGCATGACGTTGTCAGCGTGCTGAGGACGGTGGAGTTGGGGGGAAGGAAAGAGGTTCCGGTTAGATTGTGAGCACTGTCTGTATGTTAAACACGCGGAGTGCGTGTGACTGTTCTCAGGGCGTCGAGACGACGTGCGATCACCGTCTGGAGTCGGCCAGGGAAGACATACTGCTTGTGTCAACGTCTTCTGACTACAGAACGCTGGGTTCGCTAATCGAATGACCACTGCTTCCCTAATAGCAAAGAGTTACGAATTTGTTCCGAATCGGAAGCGATTCGTACCCTTAGTTTCGACCGGCCGGAAGCGAATCGAATACGTCCTTGTCAAGCGAAACGGTGGCGAATCGACTCCGACCGTTCGTAACTCAAAATTTTCCGGCAAACGACAGTCTACTTATATCCGTTATCAACGACCCCCCCAGACCCCCATCCAGGGTTTGCATCCTACCGGTCCCTATACTTACTGCTAATACCATTTCTAGCAATGACTGTAAGTAATGCGTTATTTAAATGGAAAAAATTTATTTACAATGAAAAAAATCTTTAAATGTACAAAAATAGTCATTGTTCCGATGATGGGCCCTTGCCACCATTCTGAATTTGTGAATCTACAACGGAAACATGTATAGGAGTGAGATTAAATTCGATAAAAAAAATAACGTATCAAATTCCATTAAATTAAATGCATTTATGTTAATAGCAGACTCACTGTTAATATTGGCCTTATTATGCCTTTTCAGTAATCTGTCATACGCCCTCTTGAAGGCGTTTTTTATTGCCCTCTCCAACTGGTGACGGTCGGAGCGCTGTCCTCGATTCCAGTGGTCGAAGACCTCTATAATAAAAGGCATAAGCATACATGCAGTGCAAGTCCTACCTAGAACCAGATTGTACAGAGGCGTTCCGAAGAACGGCCTCTTTCCTTGTTGTCGCCCATAAAAGGTGACAAAGGAGGTAATGTCCTCGGAGAACAGCGCTCCGAACACTCTGTCAACGAAGGACACAACAGTGTCCACGCCAAGCGTGCTTAGATACGTCACCTAGCAAAGTGATAAACAAATAAGTTGCATAAATACCAGTTGGCGGCGATAAGTTTCTTCGCTCAGGGCGTTAGTGAGGGAGTCCAGCTGCTCAAGAGTGCCAACCGGACTCAAATTGAATCTGGAGGACTCAGTAGGGCTGCTGGACATGCACCCGTGGCCGTTGTTCATCATTGCTACGTGCTGTTGACGGAACTCAGACACCTGGCCAATTAGCATGGCGACGGAATGCATTAGCCATCGTAGGCCCTGCCTCATACTGGCCCGGCGTCGTCGGCGAGGTTGCTGAGGCCCTGACGGTCCACTTCGCCTAGGTGTATTAAAAAGACGATTATGACCTACGCAACTCGCATACGGTATATTGAATCTTACCCCTGTAATTTGGAGAGGCACAGCCCGGTATGGTTGAGCTGGAATCTGTAGCCTCCCCTTCAGATCCCTGAAGCCGAAAATCGGTAAACAATAGGTAGCCCTACCGACGTCGACGCCATCTCTGGCATCTCCCCCAGGGCCCAAACTTGGGGGTCATAAGGGCTTTTCGTCTTCCTCTTGCTCTTCTCATTCTCATTTGGAGGTAACTCCTCAGACATGATGATCTACAACCCAACAGGAAAACAGTAGGTTATTGTAGGGATTGCTATATTGATAATCACTGCCTCCCTTCACCATCCACGTATCATAAGCTCAGGGACTGTTGGGTTGTAGGATACGCGGAAAGTGACCGATGAACGGTGGGAGCAACAGTGCGACTGACCTTTTTGCTGAGTATATGAGGGAAAAATACCGTCCAGAGCCGTCATCTTTTCGCCGATTGTACTTAGGTTGCGAAGCACTGCTTCTACTCGGTGTCCCAACGTCCGTGGATTTCCATTAGTACGTAGTCGTCGTCCATTGGAAAACAGGCATACTTGTGTACCGATAATGGCAGTGGGCAGGTCTTGAGTACAGTACCCAAAGTTGCCTTGAAAATCTTTAATTGGGATGAATTTGTAGGATAAAAAAAGTAATCTTCTATGTTATCGTAGTCAACGTAAACTACTGCTACGTTGCCTGACGCATAGCGGATGATATTTTGGATGCAAATTAACTTGTCATCGATTAATACTGATACAGCCGAATTCGGCTGTGGCTAGTACCCGCCATCAAATCAAATTTTTGTCTGAAATAATTCTGCTTCTTGGCCGATCGGTCTTCAAGACAGAGTTCACGTGTGCCCTCGCGAAAAGTTGCCATCTGTCGACGCCTGTTTGTAGCGTTCATTAAGAGCGTTAATCTGCCAGCAAATACGCACTTGGGTCAAGGGGGGCTGCGTTCTGTGTTCGGCCAGATTTTCATACATTACGACCTGCCCAAACCAACGCGTCAACTTTCATGAAAAGCAATGGGTTAGTCTAAGCTCTAATCTTCCAAACACAGCCGAAGTTGGATAAATCGAGACTGACGACGTGGAGGCGGGTCGCTCGTACTACTGACCATCCCTTAAGTTCGGCGCTACCATTGCGATTATTTTGGACCCTACACCAGTCTCAAGTGTACAGTACACAAATGTTCCTTGCTGCAAGGTTGCTGCGATATAACAACGAGTTTGTTGGAGAACGGAGACAGTAAGCCAGCGAGCGGAAGTAGGCGTGCCTTAGTAGACAACGCCGACATGCCTTTCCAGGGGTCTCTTCGCAGTAAAGGCTTTGCCACAAACCCCACACTTGTGCGATTTGTGGCAAAGCCTTTGCCCTGGAGGGCAACCTGGACAGGCGTTGTCGACGTTGTCCGCAATCGCTTTTACCTACCAGCCGGACCTAGGAAACATCACTAATATTTCTTCGTAGCAATTGTAGTGACTTGCGCATTTCTTGGATTATGGTGGCGGTGAATTTCCCAGCACCGACCTCCCTCTGTACTACTAGAAGCATCATGCTCCAGTGGTGAGGACTGGTCATCTCGACTGCTCGGTGATCGGCTTGACACAGAACCCCCTCTGCTCGTGCCACATGCGTGCTGGCATCATGTTTGGGTTAAGGTGTACAACAGTCGCCAGACAAAATTCCTGTTTTTGAGAAAATTGAAGTGCTCACCGGATCAAGGGGATTGCATTCCTGCTTTTGCTTCGTTCGAGATGAGGTTGGCTGAGGCGAAAAAATTCTGCTTCATCTCACTGATAAGGATGTCGCAAGAATAAAAGTTTTCATAAGATCACATGTCAAGAGGTCGATTGGGGACTAAAAATAGAATCGGATTGTCAGATGTCATCGCACGTATGCTATTTTCTATGTACCAAGAGGACTTTCCTTTGTAAACTACGCGGTATTTGGAGGTGGCTTAGTCCGCCAAACTTCAGCGTGCGCCCTCGAAATATAAGTGGAGGCTTTTACCTTTTCAGCGTTCTCGATCGACTGTCCCAAATGCTAGGTTCTGCTGTTTATGCTTATGAAAACCTTTAAAATACTTAAAATTTCTAAAGGCAGATGGCTGTTAGTTTTAAAATTGCAGACTGTTTCTGCAGATGGAAATGAATCATGGAAAAGACTGAGTTTCCCCAACGAGGGTTTGCAATAAACATGGTCCTGTTCAGTTGAAAAAACTTAAGTTACCTCTCGAAAAACTGCCTTATTGAAGTATTTTGAAAATTAAGTAAGGATCTAGTGAAGGCCCCAAAGAATCGACGGTCTACCGAGAGTGCCTACTGTACGTGTTCAAGTAGGCTGTGTTTTATTCGATACCCTTCTAAACATGGATTATGCCGTTGGATTACCCACCATGACCTTAGCTCTGAGAGTTGAGAAGCGACAGTGGGATTAAACTTCTTACTAGACGACGTTGCAGAACGGCTTTGCACTACCTACTCCTTTCAGTGTTGCGACATTTTGGGTTCATGGACCTTGCCATTCGCGCTAGCATTCCCATCCACTGCCTTTGTCGTTGAGTCCTTCACATAGGATTGGGAAGATATCAGCCACCTTGCCGTAGGATAACCCAACATGGCCTCAGTTCAGAGATAGCGGGACTTGGCGACTCTTCTAAACATGGAGTGTTCAACTTAACGGCTGCACGCAGCATTGGCATTAACCAGCATGATCCAGTAGTGTACTACAGCCACCAGTGTTACCTTTACCATGACATTCATGCTTCAACGTGTTTGCGGCCGTTAACGTTGGTAGTCTTTCTTCGAAATCGACGGTGTCCTTCTTGTAGTCGTCCGACTATGTCATGGTTGACTAAATCGCTACCTTGATGGCTCACCTTATCGATTGTCCGTGACACTGACTACCCAGTATGTACTCCCTTACGACGGCTGACAGGCGACAGTCATGATCCTGTAGTTTATTACTGACGCCTGTGTTGCCTTTACCATGACTTTCATGCTTCACCGTGTTAGCTGCTCGTAACGTTGGCGGTCTTTCTTCTAAATGGGCAGCACCCTTCGTGTAGTCGTCCGATAATGCTCCGGTTAGCTAAATCACTTCGTCACTGCCTGATCGTGTACACGGCTTGTAATTGAAAATTACTTGCACGCGGCTAGGACTCGAAAGCTTTCATGAGAAAAAAGCAGACGGCTAACCTAACCCTACCTTGCGGTCCCAAGGCATTAGGAAAAACAAGGCAGTTGGGTTGCGAGAAGTTTATGCAAGACAATTGACTTACACTACTGTCGGATTCTTCCAGAATAGGTTGCATTTACCTCCATAACGTGAGATAAGAATACCATACATGCTTCCTTCAGTCCAACGGCATTTAGGCCAAACCAGAGGCGATATTGTACTTCATCTATATGAGCCCAACTGGCTCGACCGGAAACGGGGCCTCCCTCCTGTAGCTTCCTTTTCAGACGACTCCAGTACGCCTCTATTGCGTTTGTATTCCTTCCCGTCGTTGAGTCTTTGAAGTGCTTGGAGTGATTAACGGTATAGTGAGCATATCCCTCCGACGGGAGGCGACTGTAGACTTTCCATTCATCCGTCAAAATGACGCTGTCCTTTGCTACCAGTTTGATAATGACGGCACGCAGAGCCGGCCGGCTTCTGTCGTTGACCTGCTCCAACACTGCCTTTCGCTGCCTCGTATCGTACATTACCACGGGCCACCATTGCCTTCTGCGTCTACCGACATGGTATTTACGTCGGCCTATTGACGTTTCATCAAATTGGACCTCAATTCCCAGTCCGCCAATCTGTTTCGTTTGCGTCATAAGAGCCGCTGGGCATACATGCCGACACAGCGCGTACCACTCCACCGCCATCGCATGCACGACGACGATATCCTTCTCAGAGCCGTCACTCTTTCTCCTTTCAGATACGGCTGCCAAATCTTTATAACCGTCCCGATCGTCAGCTGTCTGTTCTCAAAATTGAGCTAGCTCTCAATGACCGAATCGGTATCGGATGCACCGAAGTACATATCCATCCGAGTGTCGCCTCCTGATTTGCTGTTTTATTTGACTTTTGCATTTGCATAATAATGCGATCGGAAGCAGTCCCCTCTTCTGGCAGTACTCGACTACCTTCTCCGAATTTATCTCGTCCCATATTTCTTCCGTCTTACATAGGAGGCGGGCCGTAGCATTAGCAATTCCTTCGACAAGAAAATCATACTTCCTGCATTAGGTCACTAGAGTTACACGAAACACCCGCCACGTTTGTCCGCATATAACTTACTTATTCCGATTTTCGTTTCGCGTGACGGATCGCGCTGACAGCGTTAGCTTCGGGTTAATGCACATGACGGACTCGTACGCTAAGTTTCCATACAAACAGCTCGCTTACCAACGTGGTCGCATTCCCATTGGATGCGCTTGCCTTGGACGCCTGCCTTGCCGTAAGCAATCGCTTGGCGAGCCCCTGAAGTTAGTTTGCGCTGCTAGTACAACCAAAAGCAAATTTTTCAATTGTCCCACTTCCTTTGGTTGCCGTATGTCACTGCGGTAAAGGTTTTCGGCTCAAAAACCAAACTAAACATTGAACTCCCTTTAAAATGACTGTTTACTGCCCACTCATAGGCCCCACCAGTAAAACCCTTAGTTGAAGCAATATATCCCGGAATGAATTTAAAGCAGGCATGGACAGCAGAATTTATTGGTGCTAATAAATTTCGCGACGGCTTATCAACTGCAGCCTGTCGTTGCATAACACAGATAACATGTGAGAAATACACAGAGGTTTGAACTTCGACAGAGAAAATCAATGTAATGGGATGCAAGTACATTGGGCCAACGCAAAGGCACTTGGCCGCCAGGTCAGTTGAGCACCTGCATAAATGGCTTATAA